TGGAACAGGAACTACGTCGCTGTAAACCATGTAAAAAGTAGTTATTTTTAAAAAGTGTTCATAATTCAAAAGCATTTCTTCCATATTTAATAAGTGTATAAACAGTTTCTAATAATTGCAAGCCCAATAAAATGCAATTGCGGTCCCTTTTATTTTGCACGATGCTTTGATCTACCTACGTACATATCCACACAACAATTTACTACACATGGGATACATTTCTGAGCGCCATCAACTTCAGCTGAAGTTAGTTAGCCCAGTCCTGAAAGGTCCTGAGTATCTTGAACTCACGCTGCAGTCAATGGCTGTTGAGGGCCCTCAGAAGCTCAAAGCAGCTGCTCAGACCCTTGCAGTATCAGGGCTTCATTCTCTTTCCAAACATCTCCCTCGGTACTTATATGGAACTCAGTAACATAGTATTTGAGTGCATCATCAACAATGAATTTAGCCTCATGCAACCTTTATGAGATTTCCTTATGTCTGCCTATACATATGCTATTATAGCCCAAATCTATAACAAGGAGCAGACCTGGCAACCACTTACATGGCACTGTTTCTCATTTTCAATCTAAGCTTCTCTCATTGTCTCTGGAATCTTTGATTACCCCTCCCCCCCCCCTTTTTTGTGACTTATCCATTAGTGGTATATTATAGAAGCAGAACAGAACTAAAGCTAAAGAACTGCATTTATAATGAATTCCCAGCACTTGTAGTTTTCCACTTAACTTGTCTGGGTTATTTTCCCTACATTATGAAAGTAAGTATTCCATAGTAAGGGCCCAAATCTGTCCTTAGAGATGTGTGTAGGCAGAATGGTACATCAGTAGCAGCTGTATGAAAAGGATGGCTGTAATAAAGAATAAATACAGAACACTGGGAAAGTCTGATTAACATAGTGTTAAACTGTTTTATATTGAGATGACTGAAGACATGGGAATAGGGCATCCATTTCTGATGCCTGTTTACTGTATGTATGTACTATGTTAGGTCAATCCCACCACGACAAGTTTTCCCTTCTTAGGGTCTTTTACTAAAATGGTACTTCCTGATCATAGTTTGTGAATATGGAATCTACATTACATGAAATTGGTTCTGCCTTTTCTTAGTGGAACCTAAATGTCCTCCTGTAGCAGGATGGTCACCCGCTCCTGCCCTGAAGGGCTTAAAACAGCCCTTGGTGAGGGCTAGGGTAGGGGAAACCTGGGCTGATTGGGGAAGTAGCCACAGCTGGGCCACGCCCCAATCAGGCCGCAGCTGGCCCTTATAAGAGGGCAGTGGACCAGGAGCAGTCAGTCTCTCTCTGCAACCCCAGTACCTGCTTTGGCCTTTAGCAAGGCCTGCAGCCTGGGGATTTGCCAGGCTGGAGCTCCCCAGCTCCTCTTGCCTTTCCCCAGCACTGCTCTACTCCCGGTACCCTGAGTTCCCAGGCAGCCAGGTCCTTCCCTCTCCACCGCGCGCGAGAGAGAGAGACTCTGACACAGCTCCTCCCTGAGTCCTTATAACAGGGCCAGGTGTGGCCTGACTGGGGCATGGCCCCAGCTGTGGCTGCTTCCCCAATCAGCCTAGCTTTTTCCCACCAGAGTGGGGTAACTGCCCCCCTACAGTGCCCATGTCACCTGGTACCGGAATCCATCTTAAACCTGGTGTTTTTCCATTTGGAAGGAAGGGTGGGGACCCAGAGAGACAACGGATTCCTGCCTTGTGCCAAAGCTATAAAAGGGTGTGGAACAGAACAAAGGGGGTAGCAGTCATGAGAAATCCCCTAGTTATCACCTGAGCTGGAACTAACAAGCATTGTGCCAGGGGAAAGGATTGGGTCCAGACTAAGAAGGAGTCTAGTCTGTGAAAGAAGCTTATTGGAACATCTCTAAGGGTGAGGTTTACCTGTATTCAGTTTCTTAAATGTATTAGGCTTAGACTTGCGTGTTTTGTTTTATTTTGCTTGGTAACTTACTTTGTTCTGTCTGTTATTACTTGAAACCACTTAAATCCTACTTTTTAATGCTTAATAAAATCCCTTTTGTTTATTAATTAACTCAGAGTAAGTGATTAATATGTGGGGGGAGCAAACAGCTGTGCATATCTCTCTATCAGTGTTATAGAGGGCAGACAATTTATGAGTTTACCCTGTATAAGCTTTATACAGAGTAAAACGGATTCCTTTGGGGTTTGGATCCCATTGGGAGCTGGGTGTCTGGGTGCTGGAGACAGGAATATCTGTTGAGTGGTTTTCAGTTTAAGTCCGCAGATTTGGGGGCGTGGTTCAGACCCTGGGTCTGTGCTGCAGCCAGCAAGCGTGTCTGGCTCAACAAAACAGAGTTCTGAAGTCCCAAACTGGAAGAGAAAACAGGCTCAGAGGTCATCTCAGCACATCAGATAACAGGTCCAAGGGGGTCTCTGTGACCCAACTTGTCACAATATGTTTTTGACATTTCCTTGGCCTTAGTACTCAATAAGCCTAGGGAAGTGATCACTTCCCATTCCATCATCTTTATAAATTTCCCACCTGCATTTACTAACTATAGTAATTGTTGCAATTCCCAGATCCAAAACAGAAAAAGATTTCTCTGCTGAATTAAATTTAGTAGATGATCTTGTATTCAATATTATTAGGTTTACCATTTCGGTCATCTTTCTTAGTACCCCATAGCTCATTATGACTATTAAAGTCTCCACAAATTATGAATGGGTTTTTGACTGTATTAATTTTTTTAGTTCTATCCCCCCCTTCCCATTTTTACATAGAGCATAAACATTATAAGTAAGGCTAAAACTTTGTCACAGAGGTAATGGAAGTCACGGACAGCTGTGGGCAGCAGGAGGACCCCCGCTGCTCCAGCTGCCCGCTGCTGCCACCGTGGGGCTGCAGTGGAACTCCTGCAGCTCCTGACCCTTCCGGATGGCAGGGGGCACCCCGAAGCTCCAGCCGCCATGGGCGGCAGGGTGGCCACGGGGGGCTCCGAGCCACCGCAGGGAGGACCCTACAGCTCCCCTCCGCCTTGGGCAGCAGGGGATTCTGCAGTTCCCAGATACAGGCAGAGGGGGACCCTGGACCTCTGAGCCCCTGCCCCCACCCCCACAGCTGCCCAGCGGCTCCCCATTTTGTCATGGATATTTTTAGTAAAAGTCAAGGACAGGAGAGATTCCAGAGGACTGGAAAAGGCCAAACATAGTGTCAATCTTTAAAAAGGGGAATAAGGACAACCAAGGAAATTACAGACCAGTCAACTTAACTTCAGTATCGGGAAAGCTCGATTGGCCACACATGCATAATGTTGCCCGTTTCCACAAGGGAGGTTAAACACAGTTGCAGGAGCCAATCTTCCCACAACAGAGCTGGTCATGGACGTAGTAAAGAGGTCTTCTAGTCAAGCCAAGGCTATTGCTAAGGGACTGGCGCCACTGAACTGCGATACAGCTGTTGCATGGCTGGCCCATGTTTGGCAAATGTAGCCCTCTGCTGATGGCATGGACTTCACCCAATTGGCACAGTTATGTCCCTCTCCTTGTGATGCAGATGCTCTAGACATAGGCATAGGTTCTTGGGAGCGGACTGCCACTGTACCCCGGGAATGGATAAGTGCTCTAAAAATATTACTGCCTGCGTCTTCCCTTAAGAAACTGTATATAATGGAAGAGCAGAAACCAGGAGAGGCCCCAGAAGCTTACCTAATTCGAAAGAAAATGCTGGCAGCTCTCTCTGATTCATTACCCCAGACAGAAGTGGTGCAAGGAGACAGGCATGTCTCAAATCAAGCACACCAACATAAGCGGCTTTATCTTTTATACATTTTGCAGCTAACCCTTTCCCTTCTTCCCCCGCCCTTTCTCACCCCCCCCTCCTCCATTCCCACCTCTCCCCCTTTCTCCCTCTAGTTACATTACATGACCTTGGCTGTGCAGCTCGTTCTCACTGTTTCTTTCTGCAAGTAATCTTGTCCTTTAGCTGAAAGCATGTAGGTTTCCCTTATCACTACTGCTTCCCAGCTGCTGGCCTGTGAGGTTAGTAAAGTTTAACATGCAGGGGCTTTGATTCACTTTGGCCTAGAGCGGGGGGGCTTCATTGACTCTTGGGTCTTCCAACCCCCCGAGTTACTTAGGGTGATGCCTAGTGACACCAACACATGGATACTGATTTATAACCACAGATATCCACATCCACAGATATAAATGTTGTACCTGTGCAGGGCTCTATTGATCTGGGGGACCAGTTGAAATTGGGAAGCAGAAATTGGCCCTGCCTATTTCCTATTATTTGAAAAATGTATAAGGACAGAGGCGAAAAGAAGAATTGTTCTGGAGAACCAAGACAGATGAAGTGGGCTGTAGTCCACGAAAGCTTATGCTCTAATAAATTTGTTAGTCTCTAATGTGCCACAAGTACTCCTGTTCTTTTTGCGGATACAGACTAACACGGCTGCTACTCTGAAACAAGACAGATTGGTAACCCTTTCTATCCTCTATCGTCACAGCCTTCCTTGACTAATGAGCGCATTGTTATAACCGCTGACTCTTTCCTGCCTTTCTGCCCATTGTTTCTGCTCTAGCTCTGCCACAACCACACATTTATTTTTCCTAACTCTGACCAGCCCCTTCCCCTGGGCTAGCTCCTAGGAGTCCGTATTCTCCCTCAGTGCTTCCACCACCGCACAACGCATAGCTCAGCCTCAGCCCACTGTCCTCCAGCCCAGCCTTGCCCCACTGGGCCCCATCCCTGGAACAACCCAACCAGCCCCACCATTCAGCCTCTTCATTCTCACACGCACGCCCTCCCCCCTCCCCGGCCTTTGACATTGGCGCCAGGGCCTTCTTTTCCCGCCGGTGAAAAAGTGTCTCGATTACACCGGCCAGTCACCGCCCTTCTGAGCTACCATTGGCCAACAGGCGCCATGATGCTACCCCAGGGGCGTGGCTTATTCCCCTGGTCACCAGCCTGCCAAAAAAAAAAATCCTCTGATTGGCACGTGAGCGGAACCAGCGACAGAGCTTCCCCCGCGCATGCGTAATGTAGGTTCATGGCCTAGACTGCTGGGGTGGCTTCGCGCTGCTCTCTTCGCCATTGGCGGGCGGTTCGAACGGCAGCGGATGTGACGACGTGGGCTCCCTACCCGGTGACCGGAAGGAGCCGTTTGAAACGACGGAGGCCGGGCGCGGGCAGGTCGGTAACCAGCAGGGTTATGGGGGAGCGGCGCGAGTCGGTGCCCGGCAGATTCGCCCCTGTCCCCAGCCTCGCCCCGCTCCCGTGCTGCTGTTGCGGCGGCAGCGGGGTGTTGTGTTCGGCGTGGGTCGGTCCCGCCTCCCCCCACCAGCCCAGACTCCTCCCGCAGCTGCCAGAGCTGCGCCGCCGGGGAAATGGAGGGGGCTGGCAGGGGGAGGCCCCTGGGGTGCCCGGCGGGCCGGCCTGCCGCGCTATAGACTTGGTGTGTGTGTTTCCGGGCCTCAGGTGGCGGCCCGGACCCCGCTGTTCTGGGCTCCCAGTTTTTGGGCGGCGGCTGCCCTACCTGCGAACCACTTTTAATTCTGGAGAGACACTAATCCCTCCGTGTGCTTTGGGGCCCCATCCTGAGAGAATCCGGACATGCAGGTGTAGGCTGAGCCATGGGGTAAAGCACCAACGCTGCTAGCCTGGAACAAATGTTTGGGGAGTGCCCCCCTCCCTTGTCTTCCCACGTGCACTAACTACCCTGCACTGAGGGTCAACTAGTGACCTCAAAGTCCAAAAGGCCAATGTAGACAGACTATGTGGGTAGACTGTATACCCCATGGCGGATGTAAACTGGGCTGTTGGGAGAAAGACAATAAAGTCGGGTTTTAGAGGGCTTGTGTGGGGAAATGGTAAGACACAGAACACTAGAAACTGTCCCTCCCAAATAAGAGTATGTGGTGTGCATGCCAGCTTGCATCTGTGTGATGCTCCCTCATTATAGAGAGTGGTTGGTTACTCCAGTGATGCCTACAATGCAGAATTCTACTGAATAGATGAATCTAGTTTATTTTCAACCTTCTTGCACTCGCTTCTTGCACTACATTGTACCAAAATCTGAAATATCAAACATTTAGAAGTGGCTTCTGCTTTACCGATTTAGTTTATGCTGCTTCCTCCTCCTCCTGAAATTTCAGTTCTTCAGTTTTTGCACGGAAATTATCCTTTCCTATTTCAGTAGGAAATAGAATGTGTCACTCTCTTTTTTTCAGTGTTTTTCTCCCTCACTGCCTATGTCGAACTTTTGATTTATAACTTATTAGCATTGATAAGGGACAGATACCAGTAGTTAAAAGGTCACTGAAAAACTGGTTATTTTCTAGTCATTTTTACAAGCAGACTGTTGCTGATCTGGCTCACAACTTCATACGGTAGAGATTCCCCATCTGGTCTGTGGAGAATTTACAGGTCATATAATCCTCACTCTCCTTGTTTCCAGTTGTTGAATTACATTAAAAGACAGATTACAAACAAAAGTATTTTAAAATTACTTTTTCTTGAAAGTAATTGTGAAAGAGTGGGTAAGGTGGCCTGCATGAGGAGGAGGTAAGGGCCATGACGCGCCATTTAGTCCATCCACCCTTTGAAATATTCTTCCACAGCAGGAGGTTTCAGACTTTCAGTCCAAATAACCCAATACAATGACCTTTTATTGATATGTTTCATAAATTGAATGGAGTTGTAGCATGCATGCTTTCTGAGGTCCCAATCTCTCTGTGATTGCCATGTGAATGGAGGAGTTGTCCATGCAGAGCTCATTGCAGGTTTAGTGGCTAAGTGATAAATGCGTTTGATTGTAAGCTTGTAGCAAAGACTTATGCTTAATGCCATTGAGTTTTTTGGCAAAGTGTGCAATGAGCATGAATATCTTTATAGATTTTTAGGATTGTGCCGAGATTTTTGATTTCCTGTAAGTATTTTTAAATACAGTGTTTACTTTATTCTCTAATATTGTTTTGATACAGAAGTCAAATATTCAATGTATGCAAAGATGAAAAGAAAAGTGGCAAAAGGTGGGAGACTGAGGCTTAGTCCTAATGAAGAAGCTTTACTTTTGAAAGAAGAATATGAAAGACGACGAAGACTAAGGCTGCAGCAGGTATGTCTGCATTATCAACAGTAGTTTTCATTTAGATGGTTGAAGAAAAGAACATCTGCGGTTTAGGAATACACTTCTTTAAACAGCAACAAAGAGTCCTGTGGCACCTTGTAGACTAACAGAAGTATTGGAGCATAAGCTTATGCTCCAATACTACAGAAGTATTGGAGCATAAGCTTATGCTCCAATACTTCTGTTAGTCTACAAGGTGCCACA